CCTCGGGTTCGGGCCTCAAGCCCAAATTTTAGGGTCGAGCCTGGGTTGGCCATAAACCTAGCCCAACCCGCCCGACTTGTACCCCTAGTTAGGGGTGGATTCGAGCCGAGCCAAGCCGAATAGTACGAGGCTCGAGCTCGAGCTCAGCTCGAGTAAAAAATTCATAAGCTCGAGCTCGGCTCGACTCAAGCTCGATTTTGAGAAAAAATATTTTATAAAAATAAAAAATTATATATAAAAATATTTTTATTTGAAATTTATAAAGTTAAGAATTATAATATTTTTATTATATACATTATTTTCTATAATTTTATATATATATATATATATATATATATTCAAGCCGGCTCGCGAGCCTCACGAGCCGAGCTCTAGTAGGCTCGAGCTTGGCTCGTTTCATAATCAAGCCAGAGAATTGGGCTCGAGCTCAGTTGAAACCGAGCCGAGCTGAGCTCGAGCAACTCATGAAAAGCTTGGCTCGTTGCCACCCCTACCCCTAGTCATACCAAGGCTTCACACACATGATTGATTCATATGAATCATCCAGAACCTATGGTAGACAAATAAGAAACTAAGATACCCAGATACCTGGACAAGGGTGTTGTATTGTGTCAGATACTTAAATTTTTAGTGTAAATCCCATATCCACTAGCCATGTCTTTGTTGTATCCAGGTAATATATAAATAGCAGATCTAGGAACAATCCCCCTTTCTGGTTTGTGTGAACCTGTGATCTTTTTTTCTGGTGTGCAGAGACCAAATATATCCCATAGTGACTGGTATAGCCCAAATACTCTTCACTGGTTGGCAAGGATCAGTTGAGTGGCGGAACTATTGCTAGTTCTTTTTTGAAGAATGAACAGTTGAGGAAATTGGCCGGTATAATGGCTTATACCTACAAGTTCACCTGCTATGACCTGTGTTAATCCTGGAGGTGTATAAGAAGACTAATGCGGCATCAGACAATTCAGCTACATCTGGAATTTCAGGGATGAAGCTAGTGACTGGTGGCAGTATGAATAGTATAAACTGTCCAATCTCTTTTCTTTTTTAATGAATAACTGTCCAATCTCAATTACTCCAATTTTTTGCAAGTAATGGTAAATTTTATTAATTATAAACATCAATGGATATGTACAATAATTTTCATACTCCTTTTGAGCATAAAGTTTCTACTACCTCTTGCAATACAGAAAATTCACTTTACAGTTGAGCCCAAAAGAATTGATCCTTGGTAAACCCTTGTTTGGCCAAGGCATCAGCCATACGGCCCATACCATTAACCAACCTCTGTAGTCTGTACCCATTGGACTTTCATTTGGATGTTCCTTGTCAACCATTTGATTTTCCTGACTTCATTTTTGTAGGACCACAATGTTCTCTTTCCATTCAATATCCATCCAATTACCATCTTTGAGTCACCTCCAATGAGTATTTTTTTCAAATTCATTTCCCTTGCCCTTTAAGTCTTTGGAGAACAGCCAATAATTCTACCCCTGTAGAGTCCCCATTTCAATTGGAATCTCAATTGCTACCATTGTTTTTGGTAATAGAATAAAATTTTATAAATGGAAAAAAAAATTGCCAGAAAGATGACCAGAAATCACCCAAGAGAAGAAGAAAACAACTTTATATCCAACATAACCCAACACCAATCCTTCAACTAGATCCCATATTAAGGAGAGTAGTGTCAGGTTGGCAGCCAGTATTATAACTTTTACCAAACTCTTATGGTCATTAATTGACCCCCATATAGTTGGGACAAGGCTTAGGTGATGATGTTGACTTTCTCGTCATGATATTTTCATGAGGCCCAACCAAGTGACAGAGCATTTCAACGTCCAGCTGTGGAGAGGAGTAAAACCATTACTACTAACTGGTAGATGAGTAGATCTACTACTTTGTAGTTCAAAATGGAGGACACCAGGACAGCAATATTTAAAAACATAAGAAGTTTTCATGGCCATTTCATTTCTTGTGATCAAAAGATGATTTCAGAAACAACATTAGCTAAAGATATAAATTTCGTTCATTTGTTAAGAGTAATCGGCAGCATAATATCTGATATCAATTAGAAAGAACAAATACATGGAAATGTTACGATGTTAATGCTAATGTTTCAGCACTCAAATTCAAAGATCCAGAAAAGGATATCAAGCTTTAAATCTCATACCACTTTAAAATGTTAATGAATATTATAGATTGTCTACAATTTTCTAAACCACTAAAATCAAAATAGTAAAAGTTAGTAGAAAAGGTCACAGATTCTCTGATTGGCTTTGACAAGAAACCATCAAAGCACAAAGAATAAAAATCAGAAAGAATGCCAATTAATGCCCCATGGAGCCAAAATATCATGGAAGACTGAGGGTTAAGGAATCATTAATCAAAACCATCAAGGTTTTCCATGACCATGTCATCACCAGCTATGCACCCTGACAATGTGAGTTGTGTATTCACACTAAAATTTTGGTTTGAATCTGCATTGCACAAGCACATAAATGTAACAATCAGATGTTTATTGGGGATAGCAGCTTTCAAGCTGAAACAGCAGTTATTAGGAAGTAGGAACTTTGATTGGAAAAAGGTATTTAGTATTTCAAAGTAAGAAAAAAAAATTGAATATTGTAAATATAGACATGCATGCATTACATGCAAAAAATTCTGTATCACCTGGAACTGCAGAAATGAGAAAACTCATAAAGCACGATAAGAGTAAAAAATAACAAAGGAAAAAATCTAGTCCAAGAAGTACCAGAATCTAGGATGTATCCAACATTTTTTTTATAAATTGTATTCAAAACATTATTCATCCATGAAAGAATCCATGGAACAGTGGTTCAACAGACTAAGACTAAGAGGCTGGAAAACCTAAGGCGAGACTCTAAAGTTCTAGACATCTCTTCGAGGGTTTTTGCATTTTTTCAAGGCCAGGATTGAAAATATGAAAAGATATTATAACTTTATGGCCCTTCCAGCATCAATTGAAGCCAACATTTTAGCTCAAAAATAGGGAATAATATATCTATACGAAAGATTTGGACAACATGCACACAAAAGATAGCCCAAGCATCGCAAAGAAGCCATTGAAGTTAATATCAAAATAGACAGAAAGATAAGCAAATTGCAGATGTGTAGGAGTGTTTAAATTAATAGCTTCCTGATTTAATTGGTTAGAGTTTCATGTTATTAGCATGAAGGTTTTAGCCTTTATTTTCCAAAATTCTACATATGCTTTTTTTTTATAGGTAACTGAAAACTTTATTAACTATAATAAATTACATGCAGTTGTGTATTTACATAAAAAACAAACTCTGAACTCTAATTGCATATAATATTCCTCCCCATACACCTTCTCCCCTCTAAGTTAGCATTGTTGAGTTCAAGTACTACCCTGCCCTTTTGCACTCCTGACCCTGCCAAGGAGTCCATTATCTCATTGATCTCTTAACCCCTTGGAATGAAAAGTTCTCTTCAACTACAAGAGATCCACCTTCTCTTATTTTTTTTATCAAATCCAGCTTCTCTTAATTGCTGCCAATATTTCCATGGACCTACTAAATCTCCTTGCATCCAGCCTATAATGACCTGCGAATCCCCTTCTATTTACACCCTATCGAAGGTGAGATCTCTAGACATTTGAAGTCCTAGCAGTATGGACAAAAAGTTCAGCTCTGATGGAGTTCCCCAACCCATGGGACTAAAATAACATATAAGATCTTACCCTCATGGTTTCTGAACACTCCCCAAATACCAGACCAGACTGTTGTCTCAGATTACCCAGTGGGTAGCCATCAAAGTTTAGTTTCACTTGCAGGTTATTGGGAACATTCACAAAATTCAAGCAGTGGACCTTCCATTGAAAGGAATCTCCAAAATCTTCCCAGTTTTTTTTCTTGAGAAAGATAAGGTAAAATTTTATTGATGAAAAGATGTAATGATATAACACACCATTGCAGGAGCTCTAAACTAAAGAGCCCCCAACACAAACAACATACATCATATCACTACAAGGTCTGCATGAAACAAAGATCGCAATGGGATGGTCAAGGAGGACATTTAGAGACTGAGGCCCAGGACCCACTCTGCCAACAGCTATATTAATGACTTCCCCCACAGATTTTGCCTTAGATTTGATATCTTATTTCTTATGTTATCTTTATTTTGTGTTTCCTTTGCTTTTTCTAAACATTACAAATTGTTTGAGTGGAAATCTTAATTTATTTTTCCTTTTCTTTAAGGGAAATCAGGTCCAATCAACTTCTCTGTTTTAATGGAAAGAACCAAATAAAAGTTAAACAAAGCCATAACCATACTCTTACAATGTTAGTGTCATCAATAAGCTACAGTTTTTTTGCGTAGAACATCAACAAGCTACTTAGAAAGTCTTATTAGATTACTGACATTGACAAAATTACTTTAATGAATTCTAATGTACCGAGTAAAATTATAAAATTCCCATTAAAAAGGAAAAAAAGTTAATGAATAAATGCAAAAGAGGAGAAAAGGCAATAAATAGTGAAATAATTAATGCACCAAAGAGAAACGAGTCCAAAGGCCTGCCCAGGTGCTCATAAACCACTACCACATGAAGAAGGGTATTTTTTTTCTTTTTTTTTTTTTTTTGAAGAATAAGATAAAGTAATTCATTCATAAGAAAATCAAATACAAGAGAAAACCCTGAACAAAGAAGGATGCTTTCTTATTCAAAGAATAAGTAACCATGATCACGAGAAGGCTACCAACTCCGCCAAGGATAGGTATCAGTAGGAGGAAGACACTCATTTTCCAACTCTTTTAGTCTTTTGCGGTTGTCACCGAATTGGAGACACCAAACAAAGATTTCAATCTTAAGAAAATGTCACTCGTGTCATGCAACACTTGCCATGTATTTCATTTTTTCTTAAATGAATGAACTTTTTTATTGGTGTATCTTCTAAGATGAACATTAACAGTTTGAATCACAAATAAGTTAAATACATAAGAAAGAAGAAGAAACATATAAAATTTCAGCCACGATACACCCAAATAGACAAGTATCCCAGCCAGTATCTTATTATTTGAAGAAGATAATACAATAGAATCTCCAAATTACAAAAACATAAGACCTAGCTACAAAACTATAAAAATCTCACCCCTTTTTCCCGAACTACACTTGATACAAAAATAATAAGAAGAGTTGCTCCGTAACATGCACCCTCAATAGGTTCCCCGACTGTTGTTCAGAATGGAACCTAGAGTCCCCAATACCGCAAATGCTAGAAGAGGGCTGACATCCAGCGTATCAAAAACTGGGGGGATTATATTCCGAAAAAGATTCAAGTAGGGATCGCAGAGGTCCCTTATGGCCGATAAAGGTTGGCGATCCCACGGAATATTGGGGAACCAGCTTAGCAAAACCCTAACCATTAATACGCCGCTGTAAATGTCTAGCCACTTAGCCATGCCCGAAGCTACCACGGTAAGAGGCGTGTTGAGATATCCACTCGGGCGGTCACGGAGAGCGGCGAAAAACAAGGGTCCGATCGTGCAAACCAAGCTTTCTTTGATAGTCTGAATTCTGGCCAGCTCTTCATGAGATGGGGTCGAGCAAATTTGCTTGAGTTTGAGAACGAACCCTCGAACTGCCTCTGCAAATACCTTCGGTAGCGTCAAAGCGGCGGCAACGACGAACGCGACGGTCCGAGTCGAATTGGAGACAAGGGTTGAGGGGGTAGCATTTGAGGGCTGCATCGACGGGCCGGGTGGAAGGACGGGAGCAGCAGAGGAAGCACAAACCGTAAGTCTTGAAGTCGAACGAAGAGCGTCGGATTTGGCTCGGTGGAGAACTAAACCTGGAGTGGGTTTAGGAGATGAGAACAGAGAGAGGATTACACGGTTGGAAGAAACGTGAGCTCGTTTCGGTAGACGAGGGCTAGAGCTCTGAGAAGAGAAAGTAGATGCGATCAGGGTTTGGGAAGCCATGAGAGCTGCGGTTTTCTCTTCCGCTCCAGATAGTGTGAGAAAAAGCTCAATTGCTCTGATGCTATGGCGAAAGAGAAGAGAGATTGAGATCAGTCACCGATGCGTTTATCTATGTAGAGATTTTTATATGAGCACTTCATATTTTGTTAAATGCATCAGACATTTTCATTAGATATAATTATCAAAAAACACACAATTACCCCTGTTTTAAGCTGATGGTAATTGGTAACCACTTGCTAAAGGTTGTTTTGGTCTTTTCACATTGTTTGAGTGCCTGTACCACATGGAACCGTGCGCTGTACGGACTTGTTATTTAAGAAAATAATATTTTAAAATATTAAAAAATATTATTGAGATAAAATATTAAAAACGAGAAAGGTGAGGTGATAAAGTTGTCTCTAGAAATTTTTCAACACCCCAGAAAATTTTTAATTTGTAGAAGATTTATGATAAATGTATAATCCCAATTTAACTTGGTGCTAATTGACATGTGAATTAAATTTATACATGATAATTCCATATAACAATAACAAATTCAATGTCTACAAACTATTAAATAAATAAATAATTAAAACATGGTGTGCTGGATTTAAATTTTATATTTTATTTTCATTATTACTAAATATACTTCTTTTATAAATATCCATAAATATATAATATTAGAGATGTGAATATTTTTTTGTATTTTTATAATCTTTTATTTTTATTTATTTTTTATGTTTATTATATAATTATGGCATCATGTTTTGACTTGTTTTACTTGAAATGGAAAACAATCTATTATTAAAAATTTTAACTTTTCAATCCCGTTTCCATAATCAATTAAAATCAATTATTGTTTGTGGCATTTATCTTTGTTTAATATGACACATTTATAGTATTTGAGATATGTTAACATTTTTCATATTTTTTCTAATTTTACCTATTTTTTCATTATTTAATTGTGATATCATTCGTTGACCCATGTTACCTCAACCATTAGGGTGCAAGTTATGCTGATTAAGTCAAGTTTATGCTCAACTTAGGCCCAACCCTATGCATTGTGCTTAATGTTCAAGCACAATATAAAGTTTTGATCTATCCAACCTAGGCCCAACCCCCATTAAAATTTGATATCCATTCTAAACTTTGAATATATATAATTTTCATCCAAGTGAAACATTGGCCACCAACCATATGGAAAATGCTTTTCTTTTTGAGTTATAGCTTTTTTGTTATTTTATCATCACTCAAAATAACAATCATTTATCACACTTTATTGTTTAATGTGACAAAAAATTCAATAGTAGTGATGAACCCAAATGTTTTTGCATTTTTGTAATAATTCTTTACTCGGTCTTTTTCAAAATTTTTGCTATTTAATTATACAATGCGGGTTGACCAATATGACTTAAAAGGTTAAATCACCACTTGGATGAGGAAAAAAAAAGAAGTGGTTTGTTTCTAGGTCAACTTTAACTTTTTGCATTTCATTTCCATCCCCAATAAAAATACTTTTTATTTGACATGCCTTTTTAAGATGATAAATATAAATTTTAGAGTTTTACCTACTTCTTTGTAATTTTTATGTTTTTGTTTATTTTTTTAACATTTTATTATTTAACTATGAGACCACTGGTTGACCCATTTGGCTTGGATAATTGAACTATGTACCCACTATATTGACAAAATGACACTTTAATTTTCATGTTGGGTTTGATTCATTTTAATACATGGGCTTTGTATAGTTATGAAGAATATATTTAATACTATAATTTATTGGTGAGAAACAAAAACACTTTAAACAAAGGATCTATGGGTCTTTTTTTTTCCCTATATTTTTCTATAACGAATAGTAGTTCTTACCAAAAAAAAAAGGAGATTGAGAGTTAACACTTTAATGGGAGTTGAATGAAGTGAAAAAGTAATAGTTTAAATCACTTGTTTTGCCTTGGAAAAAGCTTAAAAGAAATGTTTGGGGTTGATACATAAAGATAATCCCTATCACTATCATTTGGGAAATTTGGAATGCGAGGTACACTAGAAAAATGTAAGGGGGATAAAAAATGTGCTTCATCAGTAATTTATAAAATCCATTGCTAGCTTGTTGAATTCAACTAAGCCAAACCCATACTTTCGGCCATATTCAAATAGACGGGATAGGTCTGAATATAAACTGTCATATGATGGTTAAAGTCTCTCTCATTTTCTCATAGAAGTAGTTCATAGGTGAATTAATGTTTACTGTGGATGGTGCATGTAGAGATAACCCATGTATCTACGAAGGTGGCTATATCTTGAGGGACCACAATAGCCAAATTTTGTGTGATTCTTCAAATGTTTATGGTATTGAGACAAATATGATGGCTGAATGTCGGGCAATAATGCATTGCTTGGTTTTGGTTGAGAATTTCATAAATTGTGTTATTACCATTTGTTATGACTATATCACAATGGATATCATTAAGGGTTGCATCAAATTGCCTTGACACATCAACAATGGGATCAAGAGGATCTATTGGTTACTCTCTCAGTTATTGAATATTAAAAATATTCGTAACTATCATGAAGTTAACAATGTGACCAATAGTTTAGCAGCAAAGCTTGCTCATGTCAACAATTTTGACATCATTTCATATAGTCAATGTGGGGCCATGATAATATTTTTGGCAAAAAAATGTATTGACAATACATAAAAGGATTTGATTTGTTGTTATAATGCATTGCTAAAACAAGTTTACTCTTTTTATATTAAGTAGTGTAAAAGGTACATGTTATGCATATGTACAAATATAACAGTAAAGATATAAATTCACACTATAAAATTAAACTTAAATTTTATTATTAGCACTAAAACCAAGAGCATGTCGTGTAATAGTACATATGAGATAAGACATGTAAAGTAAAAATAAGTCGATTAAAATTAATTGATTTAGTTTTTCTACAGATATCCTCAAGCCTTTCATTATTTCTTATTAATAAAAACAATCTACGGTGACCAAATTTCATTGAGATATTGTTATTTTCATGTATGTATTATCAAAAAATCACTTTAATAGTGGCAACTCAAAATTCATTAGTGTTTGCCAATGTTGAGCATAGATGATCAAATTAATATCGAAGCAATTCCCCCACAATGTTGATCACACTTAGATGAGTCACAAGCCAAAATACCAACCACACCTAATCTACATGTTTGCCTAATGGGAGAAAAAAAGTGGCAATATAAGATTATCTAAAAAATATAAACTCCACGCCATTATTTCCCAACAAACAATCATCAAAGGAATGTGGGTATAAAATACAATTTGATAAACAACACCTATTCATCAATAAACGGTTGCATTAATGGATAAACAAAAGGAAACAATTATATTTGCATGTTTAAATGAAAATCATGTTGTTTAGGGTGTAATGGATGCACTACAAGAAAGTTGGGATGTCCTAGCAGTTTTGGTCCAGCAAGTTTAAAAGTATAGTTGGAATAGATGCGGCATTGTGTGGAATTATCCGCAACATTAGTGCAAATGCCAAAAGATAGTGGGGCCGGGTTAAATGTTTTGATTATTTGAAACTCAAAATTAGCGATCTATCACATAATGAAGCTCTCACCCTATTCTTTTTTAAATCAGTGGTTATCTCATTGATCATCACCTTCAACATTTCATTATTTTCCTCACATTAGATCATTAGCCTCTACTGTTACCATTACAGACCACTTCCATACGTTGATGAAGAAAATTATTTACGGTAACTTATACTCCATTAAGCCCTAAATAACAACACATTTAGTGGATATAACTCCTTTAAGTTATCTAAGACATAAATAGTTAGAGGTTTGTTCAAGTTTGTCATTTCTTCATTCAGTTTTATTTCAATATTTACACGTTTTACCTAGGTAGACATTGATGATTTCATTGCCTTTGACTGGATGATGTGCGTTTACCATGTGATAGTTGATTGGAAATTTTGTTGTCATCACCATAAGGCATTACACTTCGTCCTATTATAAATGACTTGGTGTGTTACTTTGTTGTAGCCAATTTTGTTTATTCGACAATTGAGTTTTGCTTTGATCCAAGTACTTGATTATGCATTGTTAAATGTTTATGTATCTTTCTATCTTTTTTTTTTGTATATAGTTATATTATTTTGCTTGTGAAACCCTCTTTTCTTAGTTTTTTTAACCTCATAACTTTAAATTGCAACCATAGGATTCAAGTTATTTTCTATCATGTTTTAGTCTCTCAATATTTTTTCATCTCATTATAAAGAAATTGATTTTTGAGTTTGAATGCTTGTTGGGGAAAAAAGTAAAATTTGAATTAAGACATCGTATTTTTCACATGTGGTTCTATATTTTCTATCTAAGGTCTACAACTGAACAGACCTAAACTCCAACACGGTCAAAAGCTTACTCCATTGTAATTTGATTTTAGCCTATCCCCAAAAATTGCAAGACCAACTGAAGTAGTTGCAATGACATACTTGTAAATGCCATATTTTGGAGGGAGATACCCCTTCAATTTGTTGCTTCTTTCCACTTCCTACAATGTTTATTTTTTTCTAAAATATTTGATATTTTTTGTAGATTTTATATTTTCTATAATTTATAATAATTTCGAGCTTTTTGTTATTTCATTTTTTTTTGTTTTTGGATTGAATGGGATCCAATCCAATCCTACACATTGGTTTGGGTTAGGTTGGGGCACAACCTATCTAATTGACACCCTATTTCACACAAATGAATGTCTATAAGCTTTGAATTACATATATTGAAGATGTGTTATCATTTTCTTTTGGTTGTATGACTATATTAATAGGTGAAACAAGACATTGCAATCCACTTTAATTTTTTCCTAAAGGTGCAAATCAAGTACCAAATTTAAAGAATTTACGCAGCATTTGGCCTAAGATTTTGTGATGGGCCCATTAAAATTTTAACAATTTTCCAACTCGAGCGACCTAAGTTGCACTTATAGTTTTTTCCACTATAAGTGGGTTTACTCCACTTATAGGTCCCTCTTTCGTTCATTCAACATCTTCATATTCTCTCCCTTTTCCCCCACCCCCACTTTAACCTAACTCATAAAAGCCTTAACCCCTATATATATGGGGGCCACTATACAAATCCTTTTCCCTCATTTCAC